GGAGGAGGAGGGGGAGGAGGAGGAGGAGGAGGAGGAACATAATGAGGAGGAGGAGGAGGGGGAGGAGGAGGAGGAGGAGGAGGAGGCGGAGGGGGAGGAGGAGGAGGAGGAGGAGAAGGAGGAGGAGGACCAGTGTAAACCCACCTTCCCTCCAAGCTGCCTTTTCATAGGCCCCTGAGAAGGATTCATTTCCACTGAAAGAAATGCCCCGCTGGCGAACAACGGTTTGAAGATCCTGAAGCGCGCCAAAACAACATTCTCGGGACTCCAGCGCCACGAATCAACCTGACTGTTGCGTCTTGACGAGCCCGAACCGTGCCACAGCGCCGTTCCTGGGATTCCAACACCGCGAATCAACGTAACTGCTGCGCCTTGACAACCCTGAATTGTTCCAGCATGCCGTTTTTGGTACAATAACCATGGGAGTCCGTGATCTCACAATTTGTTGGAATGAATATGCGCGGCGCTAAGACGAGAACACCACATTTAGAAGGAGCCGCCCTCAATCCGTGAAGCCCTTGCACATTTTAAAACGAGTGCACGCGGCGCCAAGGCGAGATCCACATTTTGAAAACGGCCCGCCCTCCATCCGTGAAGCTGTTACAAGCTTTTACAACTAATGTGCTCGGCGCTACGGCGAGAACCACATTTTGAAAATGGCCCCGCCTTCACTCTGCGAAACAAGCTCTTGCACATGTTTAAGAAGAATGTGGACGGCGCTCCGGCGAGAGCCACATTTTGAGAACCGCCCGCCCTCCATCAGTGAAGCTGTTGCCATTCTGCAAGCTTCAGGAACACAGTTAACGAGGAAATCTCAGGCGGAAGGCCAGGCCCGCCTTTTCGATCAGCCTCGGGCTGCGGCAGGGCGGGGCCAGCTATCCGCAACCCCGTGCCTCTGGGCACGGAGTGTGGGGGCGAGCCCCCAGGCCCTCTGCCCGATCTCTGGGGCCGCAGTCCCCTCTAGTGAGGTCTGGGGCCGCAGTCCTCCTCCTCCTCCTCCTCCTCCTCCTCCTCCTCCTCCTCCCTCCTCCCCCTCCTCCTCCCCCTCCTCCTCCTCCCCCTCCTCCATCCTCCTCCTCCCCCTCCTCCTACTCCTCCTCCTCCCTCCTCCCCCTCCTCCCCCTCCTCCCCCTCCTCCTCCCCCTCCTCCCCCTCCTCCCCCTCCCTAGGCACAGACCTCACTAGAGGGAAAACAAACCTGCCTCGCTTTTGACCACCCTCGCTTCCAAGAGATACCAAACGACGCCAAATTGCAGCCTGTACTGGTCAGGCCGCTTGACGAGGAGGCGCGTGGTATGGCTTGGTTTTGCCTGGAAGCGAAAGCGGGGTAGGTACTTCACGCTCTGACTCACATTCCGAAATCCGGCGGGGCTCCCCGCGTTCCCCTGGGCGAGAGGAGTGTTTTTGCTTTCTGCCACACGCAAGGAGTCCTTTAGTGATCCGCCGCAGCGGGAATCCTTTTGCAAACCGCGCAAAGGAATTGGCGCATTACAGAAGGATTCCCTTCGTGGTGGAATGCAGAACGATTCATTTGAGTGGAATGGAAAACGGTTTCTTTTTGCATATCATACACATCGATTTCCTGCGTGGCGGACCACCCTCGCTTCCAAGCAGACGCCAAATTGCAGCCTGTACTGGTCAGGCCGCTTGACGAGGAGGCGCGTGGTATGGCTTGGTTTTGCCTGGAAGCGAAAGCGGGGTAGGTACTTCACGCTCTGACTCACATTCCGAAATCCGGCGGGGCTCCCCGCGTTCCCCTGGGCGAGAGGAGTGTTTTTGCTTTCTGCCACACGCAAGGAGTCCTTTAGTGATCCGCCGCAGCGGGAATCCTTTTGCAAACCGCGCAAAGGAATTGGCGCATTACAGAAGGATTCCCTTCGTGGTGGAATGCAGAACGATTCATTTGAGTGGAATGGAAAACGGTTTCTTTTTGCATATCATACACATCGATTTCCTGCGTGGCGGATTGCAGAACGATATTTTTCGCTGCTTCGTTGGAAACAAACGCTCAAGCCGTCCAGGCCTGTATCGTTCTTAGCGCAGAAGGAGGAAGAGGAGGAGGAGGAGGAGGAGGAGGAGGAGGAGGAGGAGGAGGAGGAGGAAAAAAGAGGAACGAAGAGGAACGAGGAAGGAGAAGGAGGAGGGACGGAGGAGGGGAGGCAGGAGCAGGGACGAGGCATGGGGCACGGGGGAGGAGGCGCGACCCCCAAAGCGACCCCGTGTGACCGCACGGGAGCTGCCCGACTGTCCTCGGGCCCCCCTTGGCACCCGGGACGTCAAGCGCAGACCCCGCCTCGTCGCTCTCCGAGCTCATGCCGGGGGCGGCGGCGGCGGCGCGGCGCGCGCGGAGCAGCCCGCCCTGAGCCGGGAAAGGCGTTGCAGAGCGGACCGGGCTCCAGCCGGGTCTTGCCCTCGGCCCTCGAGCAGTCGAGCGGACAGGGCAGGGCTCGAGCGGGCAGGGCTCGAGCGGAGAGGACTCGACGGGAACGGCGTTGCAGAGCGGACGGGACTCGAGCGGACAGGACTCCAGTCAGGTCTTGCCCTCGACCCTCGAGGAATCGACGGGGGGGCCTCTCGGGCGCTCTTTTGGCCCCGGAGGGGCCTCCAGGGATCCATGGTGGACCTCTGGGCCTCTGGGGATCGGAGTCCGGGCGGGGCGGGAGGACAACGTAGCAGACAGCACAGGACAGGGCAGAGCAGGCGCCGACGCCGCTGCAAACCCGCTCGGAAGGCGCGCCCGCAGAAGTCCCGACCCCTTCCGCGGGGCATTTCTTCGCCCCAGATCCGTTTCTGGTGGCCCCACGTCTCGGAAACGGGCCCCTCGGGTCGGGCGAAAGGGGGGGATAGCAAAGGGGGGGTTTGAGAATCAGCTCACGTAGCTGATTTTCCCCCGCGCCTCCTGGCGCCGGAGGCGACCATGTATCGAGGAATGGGCCCCTCGGTGGGGCCGAAACCAGCAGCATGCAGCAGATTTCGTAACCCCCCCTTTCCCAATTCCCCCCCTTTCGCCCGGCCCGAGCCCCAGAGGTTGAAATCGAGGAAAAAGCATTGGTTTAAACAATCGTGTCGTCGGAGATCTCATTTTCGGGCCACACTGCGGCTCTCCGGCGGCCGTTCGGGGCGATCAGGGCACCCCCGGAGCGCTCTCGGCGAGGCACAGCCGCTGGAAAGCATCCCGAGGCCGGAGAAGCGCCGAGAGCCGACCAAAAGACATCCGAAAGCTCATCCCGCCTCGGGCCTGTCCGCCCAGCCAGGGCGAGACAAAAGCAGGCGCGGGATGGCGCGGCGGCCACGACCGCGCCCCCTCGGTGGGCTGATCCTCCTCCTCCTCCTCCTCCTCCTCCTCCTCCTCTCCGCCGGTTCTGCCGCCGCCGGGCGGGCCGAGGATTGCAAACGCTTGCGGTACCCAGGGCCGGATCTAGTTCCTTTCGCCGTAGAAGCCCTTGGCCGACCTGGCTGCCGACACCGTTGCCCTCCTCCGCGCGTGCGCAGAGGGCCGTAGGTTCTGGGCTCCGCTTGGCAGTCGTTGTCCGCGTTGCTGCATACCCAGAGCGCAAAGCTTTTGATGGCCGCCGAGTCGGCTTGGTGCGTCGCCGTTTGTTGCTCAAGCTGTCCTCTCCCTTCCCTCTTCCTTTCCCTTTCCCTCCTCCTCCTCCTCCGCCGCGTCCTTCTCCTCCGTGCCCTCGCTCCGTAGTCGTTTTGGCTGCTCTTTCCTCCGTAGTCGTTTTGGCTGCCAGAGCCGCCCCACTTGCTCCGCGCGGCTGCGCGGCGCGCCAGAGACTGCGCTGCTCTTTTCCCCCTCTCCTCCCCCTCTCTCTCTCCCCGCTTCTCTCCCCTCCTGCGGCGGTTGAGCGCGCGCCTAACGGTGGGGGTCCGTGGCGCAAGTCCCACGGCCGCTCATCCGCCCCCGCCGCCTCCCGGTTCCTCCCCCCTCCCCCTCCTGCCCCTTGCGCCGGCTGGCTGGCAGAGAGAGCGCCGGCAGCCTTCGCCCGGCGTCGCAACCCGGGGCCTGACTCAAGACGGGGCTGGCCTGGGGCGCACTGACCCTACTAGGCCCTGCTGGAAGCCGAGAGGGAGGGATGATGATGATGATGATGATGATGATGATGATGATGATGAGGAGGAGGAGGAGGAGGAGGAGGAGGAGGAGGAGGAGGAAGAGGAGGAGGAGGCGGAGGAGGAGGCGGAGGAGGAGGCGGAGGAGGAGGCGGAGGAGGAGGAGGAGGAGGAGGAGGAGGAGGAGGAGGAGGAGGAGGAGGAGGAGGAGGACGAAGAATTTTGTGCTCTTCCTGTGGACGCCGAACGTGCCAGCTGCAGGAGGAGGGGGAGGAGGAGAGGGAGGAGGAGGAGGAGGAGGAGGAGGAGGAGGAGGAGGAGGAGGAGGAGGAGGAGGAGGAGGAGGAGGAGGAGGAGGAGGATCACTGACCGAACAACCAGGACTGCTAGCGGGCAAGCTTTGCACAGTCCCTGGGCGTAAAAAGGATTGCCAAAGGGGGTCACCCGTTACCAGGGGCATCCCCAACTCGCAGCCTCGCACTGTCGGTTGCTATCGAGGGCGAGCCCTGGCTAGCAACTGGCGATCGGGCGGCGCGGTACCGGCGCCCCGCGCGCGGCAATGCCTGTTGGGGGCGGACGTGGGGACCCAGACATCCGGCTGCCCCGGTTTTTTCGAGGCGTGGGCTCCGGATGTCTGGACCACTTCCCCGTGACCGGTTTTTCGTCCTGGATCGTTCCTCGACGCTCCCGAGGCCCGGCGAGGGCCCCCGAGGGCTGAAGACGAACCAAATCCCGCCGCTCCGAATTTTCTGGAGCGTCGGAGCTCGGGGGAGGAGGCCCCAAGCATGCGGCGGCCGCCTCTTCCGAGGGTCGGCCAAGGCGCCCCCTGCGGCGCTGCCTGTGGCCGGCCGAGGGGGCCCGGCAGGGGGCAGCCGCCTCCGTGGGCCTCGGGCTCCCGGCGCTGCGCCGGGCTGGGCGGCCAGGCTGGGCTGCCGGACAGCAGCTTGATGGGCTGGCTGGGCTGCGGCGCTGCAGCCAGCGCTGGGCGTGCTGGTCCCAAGGACCAGACATCCAGCACACGCACTGACAAGTATCAGAAGGGAACATCGTCTCGCCGTTTTCGGCCTCTATAGGGGCCCTCGCCAGGCCTCGGGACTGTCAAACAACGACTCAGGACGACAAGCCGGTCTCGGGGAATGGGCCGAGACTTCCGGGGGCCCCGTCTCGAAAACATCACGACGTCGGATCTCTGGAAGTCCAGCCGAGCGGCCCCCCCCCTCTGCCCTCCACGAGAGCTCAGAGAAGCTCCAGGGGAACCCGCCGCGGGGCCCCCAGGGGGCCTCCGGGGCCAACCTCCAGACGACCAGCAGGGGCCAGGAGGAGCTAGGACGGAGCGCTGGGTCGGGTGGGGAAGCGCAGCCTCATCTCCCCATTTGTCTCCGGCCCCTTGGCGGGCCGCCGCTGGTAGGGTAACGGAGAATGGCATAAACATAACAACTCGGAGGTCCGCGCGGATTTCTCGGATCCGCGCTGGGTATCCCTCCCTGAAGCGTGGAGCGCGCCAGGGGCGGCGCCGGAGGCGCCGCCATGGAACGCCAGCGCGTATCCAAGAAACCCGCGCGGACCTCAGAATTTTCATGTCTATGTCATTCTTCGTTGCCTTACCATGCTTCGTTGCCATTCTTCGGTGTTTATGCCATTCTTCGCTTCCCTAGCTGGGCCCCGAACCCGCCTCAGGGAAGGCCGGGGCCATCCCCGCGGGACGTCCTGGGAGCCTCAGGGGGCCGCCGAAGGGCGCTTGGGGAGGCGCAGCTGCGTTTCCCACGCGCTTGCGGCCCCTGGGCGAAGGCCCGCAGGGGCCTGGGCCGAGCCGACGGGGCCCGGCGCCGCCCTTGGGAGGCGCTCGAGGCCGCCGGCCCACGCACCCAAAGCCAAGCGGGGAAGCACAGAAACCCTTCCCAACGCGGTTTCGGCCGCCCATTTGCCAAACAAAGAACAGAACGGTGCCTCGGCAAATCTTGCGTCTTTGCCGGGCGCATCGTTCCGAAGGTTTTCGCTTTCAAGAGGGCGGGGGGGGACGGATAAACGGTTAAGTAGGAGAGGGATGAACGGAGGAGCAACAAAACAACGCGAAAAGATGGCCTGGCAACTCCTGCAAGAGGAGGAGGAGGAGGATGAGAAGGAGGAGGAGGCGGAGGAGGAGGAGGAGAAGGAGGAGGAAAAGGAGGAGGACGAGGAGGAGAAGGAGGAGCGACACTCCCGCCTGAGTTCGTCCCACAGCGGCAGCAGCAGCAGGCGGGGGGGGCGCGCCTGCGATGTCGGGTGCGCCCCATTCAACGGACGGCTCGGCTCCTTGGAGAAGAAGCCGCACGATTCGAGACCTGCCTGCGGCTGCCCTGGCCCTCGCGTTCACGAGGGAGGAAAAAGGACCGAGCCGAGTACAAATCCTGGACACGAAGCGAATTGTAGCTAGAAGGTGTTAGATCAAGGGCAATGAGACACGAGCAGAGCGAGGCGAGGGAAGGCCGAGGAAGACGAGACAGAACTAGCAGAGGAGGGGAGGGAACTCCAGACAGACAAACCTGGCCAGGATCGGGAAGACGGGGAAGAGCTTGGCTCACGACGTGATGAACGATATGACAAGAGAGGTCGTGCTTCAGATTATCCCCATATGCAAGACCACTGACACGATAATCATTAGTTCCAGAACGATATCGGGCAGACGCATTCCAAGCGTTACACAATGTTTTGACATAAGCGGTAGAGCAGGAATCAGGAAGTTTACGAGCAGAATTTCGAAACCGATGAAGAGTGAGATGACCATCCCTAGCCGAGATCGGGCCCCACTTCATCAGCTTTTTCATGAACGCATTCATGCAGGAGAAGGAATCCACGGCCAGCACGTAAGCCTTCAAACATTTACTCTGGAATTGCGGCATCCACCGATCCGACGGCATATGTGGAATCTGATCCATGATATGAGAAACGTGAGTAAGATGGGAGAATATAGAGTTGCGATAGTAGGTGCCGTACTTCCAAGATAGACAGAGCTCAGCATCGGCATCTAAGTCCTCCAAGAGACAGCGTGCATTATAAAATGCACCAGGCCTCTGAGCTAGACGATAGGCAGCAGCATGAGCGTAAGGGGCCAGCGAGCGAGCCGATACTCCATGCCCAAACTCCGAAAGATGAAATAGCATGGCAGAATTGATCGCGTTCCTCGGCCCTGCGGTCAACAACTGGACGCACTCACTTTCCAACTTCACGATTTTTCTGGTCGGGCCCCGACACTGGGCCACATAAGAAAACACAGGAAACCCAAACGTGTTGTAGGCCACGATGTTTTGCCCCATGGAGCGACCGAGCCCACGAATCCTCCGAGTCCTGGCAACCAATGAACTCCCAGGCCCATCCCACGAAAGCTCCTCACCCAGAACTCCAACAATGATTCCCGGATATTTCCCTGAAGAGGCAACCTGAAAACGGCGAATACTGAACCCAAGCTTCTTAAACTCCGCGCGAACATCCGAGAGTTCAAAGTCCCTCGGT